ATCTGTATCACCCTCTCAGACTGGCCATCGGTCTGAGGGTGAAATGCCGTACTAAGGTTCAAAGCTGTGCCAAAAGCCTTCTGAAGTCCTCTCCAGAACTTCGAAGTGAACCGGGGATCTCTATCAGATATGATTGACAGCGGTGCACCGTGCAACCGAACTATCTCTCTAACGTATAAGTCTGCCAATTTGTCCAAGGAAGAGTCACGTCTAACGGGTAGAAAATGAGTGGACTTCGTCAACCTGTCAACAATGACCCAGATGGCGTCATTCTTTCGTGAAGATCGTGGCAATCCTATCACAAAGTCCATAGTGATCCTTTCCCACTTCCATTCCGGAATGGTAGGAGGGTGCAGCAACCCTGTCGGAACTTGGTGCTCAGCTTTGACTTGCTGACAAGTCAAACAACGTGCAGTGAACTCGGAGATTTCCTTTTTCATAGCTGGCCACCAATAGGATTTCTTCAAATCCTGATACATCTTGTTACTACCCGGGTGCATAGTGTAAACGGTTCCGTGAGCCTCGCGTAACAAGCGATCCCTCACTTCACCGCGGGGCACCACTAGGCGTTCACGATAGTACAAGACTCCGTCATCGCGAATTGCAAACTCGGGCCTCTTTCTCATTATCCACCATTCCTTTTCCACCCGGGTTTCAACCTGGGCTCTTGTCATTTCCCTTGCGGTGCACTCAACTTGAAAGTCAGCGAGTGCTTGCCCCTTGATGGATGGGCGCGGCCTGAACTCCACGTTATACTGACTGATGAACACTGGCCACTTGGTCATCCGGGCTGATGCCGCCGGACTTCAGGTAAGTGACGCCAAAGGCTCATTCGTGAGCACAACAATCCGGTGAGCCTGAAAGTACGGAGTTAATCTCTTCGCTGTCCAGAAGACCGCTAACATGGCTTTCTATGGGCGGGAATACCTTAACTCTGCATCTCTCAGGGTCTTGTTGACGTAGTAGACCGGATGTTGGGCCCCACGCTCCTCCCTTACGATCACAGTACTTATGGCACAGTCTGCAATCGCCAAGTATAGAGTCAGAATATCTCCAGGTTCCAGCTTGGATAAAACCGGCGGACTTGTGAGATATCTCTTCAATTCTTCAAATGCTTCTTGACATTCCTGTGTCCATTCGAAGGTCGCCCTCTTACTTTCTCTGGGTTTGCCTCGATTCCTTTTGGCTCACCATGTGCCCAAGGAATTTCCCACCCTGAACAGCAAAAGTGCATTTTTTCGGGTTCAATCTCAGATTTACCTTCATCATGATTTCAAATACCTCCTCAAGGTCCCGGACATGGTCTCGGGCCTCTTTGGACTTGACAATCATATCATCAACATATGCTTCCATGGTCCGCCCTAAGACAGCCTTGAACACCTGAGAAAGCATCCGTTTATATGTTGCCCCTGAATTCCTCAACCCAAAAGCCATCACCAGGTAGCAGTACAGCCCTTCTGGAGTCATAAAACTTGTCTTTTTAGCATCGGCCAGATGCATCCGAATCTGGTGGTAGCAGCTGAAAGCGTCCATAAAGCTCATTAGTTCTGACCCAGCAGTCTCATCCACCATCTGATCGATGTTGGGGAGAGGAAACGGATCCATGGGACATGCCTTGTTCAAATCTGTGTAATCGATGCACATCCTCCACGAAGGGGGCTTAGGCGCCAGTACTACGTTTGCCAACCAATCCGGGTACTGCACCTCCCGGATATGCCCAATACTCTGCAGGGTTGCTACCTACTTCTTCACGAAATCTCTTCTTTCCTGCGATAAATGCCTTCGTTTCTCCTTCACTGGTTTAGCATCGGGCAAGACATTTAGGCGGTGAACTGCAATCTTGTGATCTAGCCCTAGCATATCAGCCGGACTCCACGCAAAGACCCTCCTGAACCTTCTAAGGACTGAAATCACTCGTGATCTGAGTTCAGCCCCCAGGTCCTTGCCAATCCTGACCTACCTTCCCGGCGTGCCTGGCTCCAATTGCACTTCTTCAATGTCGCCAGCCACCTCTACTATGGGACGTTTTTCCTCAGCCCTCAGGAGTTGCGCATTCACTTCTCCCACTTGGGTATCGTACTTGACCGGCTGTTTGGTTGCCTTCAAATACCATGCCCGGGACACTCTCGGCGATCCCCTGGCAATTCCAACTCCATGGGGGGTTGGGAATTTTATGCACAGGTGACGAGGTGAGATGACACACTCCAAATCTTCCAATCCGGGTCTGCCCAAGATAATGTTTGTGTTGGAGATTATCCCCACCACGACAAACTCCATGTCCAGCTTTCGGGTAGCCTTAGTAACCCCTATCTCAACCGGGAGGGTTATTACCCCCTCCGGTTCAATAGAGTCACCAGTGAACCCGGTTAGTGAAGTCTTGATGGGTGATAATTCATCTCTTGACAAACCAAGAGCCTTGTACGTATCCATTATATCAATAGTAATTACTAGGGCGTCCCTATGAGGGACCCCTGTCTCTGGAAGATCAGCATTAGAAAATACAATTGGCTCGGCTTTCAGCTTCTTACCTTCTGGGACCAGCACCTTGTTGACCATCGCCGCGTTAGCCCATTTCTTCCGGCTCGTGGCTGAGTCCCCGCCAATATTCCCTCCAATGATGAAGTTACACCCGTGGTGTCTCTTCTGGTGATGCGGTGGGGGTTCCGAATCCTCCTCTTCGTCTTTAAGCCTGATGTGGCGTTTCTCCCGGGCCTCAGCCTGGGCCACTTCTTTATCTCTGCGTTTTCCGTTCTGAGCATTCCCGGGATTTCCTGCATCGCCATCTTGTACGAATTTCTTTAGATGACCCCGGCGGATTAGCCTTGCCATCTCATTCTTCAGAGTATAGCAATCTTCCGTGTTGTGATCATTCTTGCGATGGTAGGCACACCATTTTCCAGTGTCTTCCACATTGCAGACCTTCTGAGAATAGGTTGGGTAAGTCATGAGTCCCTGCTGTGCATCATGGGCCATGACCTCAGCCACTGGCAATGTGAAGACCGGGTTGGCAGATTTATGCTTCTCCGAGGTCCCAAGACTTGCGCCCTTTGGGCCATCCGGGAAGCCCTGCTTCTTATTCTTAAACGGCTTCTTATTCCCCGTCTTCTCTTCTTCTTTAGGAGTTTTCTCTTTCTTCTCTTCCTTTCTTTCTTCCAGGGTCACATACCTCCCCGCCCGGACCATCACTTCTTCGAAGGTATCCGGGGGATGAGTGGTAAGATCGGTATGAAGGAGTCCATCCTGTAATGCCGCCGTGAACATAGCCAACCTGGATTTATCATCGGTTCCTTCAACCTCTCTGGACTCTTTCCTCCATCGGATAAGGAAATTCTTCAAGGATTCTCCATGCTTCTGTCGTACTGAAGCCAAGTGAGTGAAATGCTTTTTTGGACGGCAATTCCCAGCAAAATGCTCTAGGAACCGCAGTCCCAATTCATCCCATGTCCGAATCGATCCGGCAGGGATATGGTTGACCCAATCCGCGACCTTGCTATCAACGGTCTGCAAGAAGCACCAGCACATGAGTGCGTCACTGGCATCTACAGCGATCATCACTTGGACATAACTGTTTATGTGTTCCTGGGGGTCTGACTCCCCATCATAATGCTTAACAAACAGCATTTTGAACCCCTGCGGATATGGTTCCGCAAAGTTCTCCGGGGCTAAGGGAATATTCGTACGGGTGGTGAATACTCGACCCTTGTTTATCTTCCTCTGCATCTCCTGGATCTGCTGCCTCAGATCTTGGAATTCACAAGCTTCCGGCACCGGCGGTCCCAGACGCCGTGGTGCTGGGATCCTGGCTTGGCTTTGGACCTCGTCCTCCTCTAGATTCCTTAATGACCGGACCAGCACTTGGCTCGCGCCACGGCCATTTCGCTGCCGGGGTTCGCGATTGGAAGATGCCACCTGGCTGGCCTAGGGTCATATCCAACCCTGGGGTGCCTTTTCCGGATTCTTCCCCAACCTCTCACTAGCGTGAGCTTTCTAGCGAGATATCCTTGCAAAGACAGATGCCCGCGGGTTCTCGTTTCCATCGCCGAAGATCCAGCTTGGATCCTTAGCGTGGCCTTCATTCACCTTGCTATTCCGGGCCAATTCCTCCTCCCGGCGTCTGTCAATGGCTCGCCTTTCCCTTTCTACCTCCTCCGGATCATGGAGCTCCTGGAGGATATAGGAGAACTCGCAGTACGTAGGACCTGGCGGGGTTGCCCGGCAGGGATATCCCGGGTACCGGATGGACCTAGAAGAGCCTTATCCAATCGCTCCATAATGTTGGCCATCATGTTAGCCACATTATTTAGTGCCGTTTCCAACCCATTGACAGGAACTATCATACCCTGTTCTGGGTTGTCACTCCTCACCGTCGACTAGGCGGAAGTAGCAGGGTTACGTCTCGTCCTTCGTCCGGCCATAATCTCACAGCCTTATCTCACAGTATCTCTCAATGGAAGCACCAATGATGGTATTAACCCGATCAGATGGCGGACCAAGAACGTAATATGAATTTAGGAAGATATAATCACTCGGTAATATTCTTTGATTGAGTATTGAACTGTCTTGTTGTGTCCTTTTACAATGGCGGGGTTTTCCCCTTTTTATAGTGTTTCTCATATTATAATTAAAATTATACAAAATGGAAAGGATTATGGAGATCATGGGGTTGTGATTCCCCTTCTTTTCGGTCTCGTTCTCTTCCCATTTCGCCCACAACTTGATGATGTGGGCCACGTGTCCCATTCTTCCCTTGGACTGGGTCACCTCGATCTTTCCCATGTCTGGGCCGTCTTCCTTTACTTGCCATACGCGCGATAACGGGCTCGGCCCGTTATCCCCACCTGTCCTAATACCTTTTGGGCTATTATGGGCCTTCATTTGGGCCTGGAGTCGGGTCTACCAGGCCCGATATCCATCAGAAGTAAAACTCTATTGGAGTTCTAATTTCGATTCTAAAAATTTCCTTACGACACGTGAAAACTCTGTTTAAAATTTTTATTAAGAAGAACCAAACTCTTATCCAACGTCATCTCATTGATCGACCAACATTCAATTTACTTCATTTGAAAGTTTCATTAAAAACAGCAGAATAAACCCTAGACTAAAACAGTTTTATCCATTTGAAACCAGAATTTTTAGAGGAAGTATTGAATCTTGTTGCTTAAAATTAAATCTGTCTATGGGTTTACACTTTTACTTCAAGTTTAATACTCTTAAAATTATTCTAGTTTTTGCTACTTTTAAATTAATTCAAAGGTGTTTGAGAACTACTTAAGTTGGGTCAAATTAGGATCGCGACCTAATCCAATTTAAAATGATATTCTTTTAAAGTTCAAAGTGCTTTAAATAGCCGAACTTTTCTAGAAACCAAGTGTCACTTGATTAACCTAGGCTGCCTCGTTAAGTGGTTTTTGCTAATCAAGGTTCTCAAACTGATTTTGTTAAATAACCTTCGTGTTACTGCAAAATTGTTACGGTGATGTTTTCCACAAATCGTAATGCACTATTCTTAGTAGTAATCTAAGGGTTGGTCTTTGGGTTTGCTAAGGGTAGTAGGGTTTAGAGTTAGGATTGGTCCTAACATGAGCTTTTATGAATGGGAAAATAGGAAAGAGCCGTTGGTGGACCTCTTTTTCAGCTGGACCCTTGTTTTGATTTATAGTTGGTTGATGATTATGCTAGTTTTTAACAAAGTTTTGATCCTGGATATTTATTTTCTATATTATAAAACATTTTGTTGGTTTTCTAAAATTGTTTAAGTCTCTAAATTATTGTGTTATGTGTGCTTGTCTTCTTCGTTTGGGCTTTTTGGTGGAGTTATGTTCTGTTTTTATCCTTGGTTTGTTTTGAGATTTGTTCTGATGTGGTGTGTCACTTTAGTTAGTTTTTTACTTTATTTAGAAAACAATTTTCAAACCCCCCCATCTTTTAATTTAGTTTATAGATTTTAGATAGTTGTTTTCACTCAATAAAAAGTGACAAAGTAAACCGATTTTCATAGCGTAAAAAATATCTTTCTTCGTGGGATCGACTCTTACTTATCCTATATATAGATTTAATAAATACTATTTTTACAAGAAGGAATTGAGTAAAGGAAAATATTAAAAACAATTTAGGTGCTACGACACACCTAACAAATTTTGGCGCCGTTGCCAGGGAAAGATTATTTTTTTATATGAGAATTGGTTTGCTTATTGTTTAAAAACAGAAAAAAACACTTAAAAAAAATTCTCTTTTAATATGCTGGTTATTATAGCTTAATAAGTCAATTTTTTTTAATGTCTAAGTCAGTCCCTAGGTGCATTTGTGTCTTGTTTGTAATCAGTTTGTTATGAGTCCTTACGTTTTTTTTCCTTGGCCAACTTTTTACCAAAAAAATAAATAAATAGAGTTACTGACAGTTTTTAAAATCAACCTTTTTCTCCACTAAATGCAGATTTTGAACAAATAAGGTTCTGGGAGCTTAAAATTTTTTTAGGAAAATGATGTTAAAAGGAATTTCCAGTCCAGGTTTTGATCAAAATATTGTTATATTTCTAACTAATAGCAATTAGGGAAGTTGGAACTAACTGTACTGATTTTTTTTCCCTTGAAACATGCAATTATGTTATTGAGAACTTGCCTAAAAACTCTTTAAAAAGATTGTCTTCAAAGATGCATTACTGCAGATTTTAATTATTCAGACTAGGGAGTCTCATTAAAATGATATTTTTTTTATTAAAGTAATGTATGTTGAGCAACTAATGCACTTTGTTTTCAAAAAAAAAAGAGCAGAAATTTGAAGTCACTTATTACTTAAGGTGCTGATTTTGGAGTCACTTATTGCTTGTTTGTTATTTGCTCAGTAGTTATTTGACGATTAAATCAAGTATAAGAAATCTAATACTTGTGAATTCTCTTTGAGTTGCAGCTATCTGATATTTGCATGCGCTTGAGGAGCGGAAGAGTAATTGGTGATATAGAGGTAAACGGTAGCAACTCTGAGGTAAGTGTGTCTGAACCCAATTCTTTTAATAGCAAGTGTTAATCGGTTTAGTCGTTGTGCCCACGCCTTAGAGGGGGGGTGAATAAGGCGTTTAAAAATCTTTTCGGAGTTTAATAAATACGGTGTTGGCAAATGCGGAAGCAATAAGTAAAATGCAAAAATTAAAGCGTGAGGTAAAAGACACACCGATTTTATACTAGTTCGGGAACTCCCTATTCCAGTACCTTAAGGCTCATCCTTAAGAATTTATGAATCCACTGAAGTCCGGCCTCTTGAACTCCATCAAAGCACCGCACTAGTTTGGCAAACAACCCTTGCCAATAGGATTCACTCCGAGATTTCACCACGGCTATCCCGAACCGTTTACAATGAAGATTTAACGGCTATCTTCTACCGCCTTAGTCGTTGTGTCCACGCCTTAGAGGGGGGGGGGGTGAAAAAGGCGTTTTAAAATCTTTTTGGAGTTTAATAAATACGGTGTTGGAAAATGCGGAAGCAATAAGTAAAACGCAAAAATAAAAGCATTAAGTAAAAGACACACCGATTTTATACTGGTTCGGGAACTCCCTACTCTAGTACCTTAAGGCTCCTCCTTAAGGATTTCCGAATCAACTAAGTTCCGGCCTCTTGAACTCCGTCAAAGCACCGCACTAGTTTGGCAAACAACCCTTGCCAATAGGATTCACTCCGAGATTTCACCACGGCTATCTCGAACCGTTTACAATGAAGATTTAACGGCTATCTTCTACCGTTCCCACAAGGATTTCAAAGGCTATCCTTGAACCTCTACCCAAGGATTTATACAGCTATCCTTAACCGTTACAACGTGAGAATTTAACGGCTATTCTCGACCGTAAGAAGGTGTCTTTGAAAAACACAAACAAGAGTTCTACACAACGACTTGAATATAAAAATGAAGAACAAAACTTAGCCGGTGTAGAAGGAAAGTATACTCTCTCAAAAATACAATTAAAACTTATGAATATGAGAGTATATAACTAGAAACACAACCTCAAAGTGTGTGTATAAAAATCAGGAACTTAAGGCTCTTGAAATAGCCAAAATATAGAAAATAATTAATGAAAGAGTAAACACACTTAGAATATTAAATGAGGATGTTTGGAGCTTTGTTTCTTGAAGAAATATGAAGGATTAGGCTTGTATTTATAGTGGAAGATGTTAATTAGCCATTCGGAGGTGATTAGGATTGATTAAAGTCAAAATTGCAAATCAGGAACAGTGCTGTAACGGATCCAGTACCCTTCACGGTAGGGGGGTCCGTGTCATCTGGTACCTAGGTACCGTGACACGGTATGGCCTACCGTGTGGGGGTACCGTATGGGCAAAAAACAAGGTTGGCCTCTGGCGGTACCGGCTTGAGACGGGGTGGCCAGCCGTTTTAGCCTGCCGTACGGTACCTTGGTACCGTTACACGGTATGGGGGTACCATGTAGGCGGTATACCCTACCGTCTGGGGTACCGCTAGGGGAACCGTGCCACTGTCCTGATTTTTCCAAAATTCCCGTAATCCTTCGTGTTTGAGTTTAAAACCTTTTGGATATTTGAAAGCGTTTATTGGACGGTTTTAAACATATTTTGTGAGTGCTTTTGAGCTTGTGAATATAGGTATATAAAATCATATTCTTACACTGGTTTCTACCTATGTTCTACGCTAGTTTGGTGTTTCGACTTCATTCTTGAGTACCGAATCTTAATGGATTCTTTTTGTACCCGAAACACTTAAACAAACGTCAAGCTCTTATATTGTTTGTTAACATCAAAACATGAGACTTAGCAAACCAAGGCTAACAATCTCCCCCTTTTTGATGTTGACAAACAATATACTTCAAAGTGAGTTAGGTGGGAGTATAAAAATGAAGCATGCAAGCTCCCCCTAAGAATAAGCATATTTAAAATACTCACTTTGAACTTTTTCTTGTGTTTATTAAAAGTTTAAGTTTGATGCAAAAGTTTACACAAGAATGCACTCAAGTCAAGTTGCATATGCACCACTTTGAAGTATACATCTTCTCCCCCTTTTCTCAAAATCAAAAAGGGCATTTTGAAAATTTTAACCATGTATAACTTCTCGAAACCCTCCCCCTATAAAAATGAAAAAAATGATAGTTTGGAGATCATTGGGCAAAAGGTGCATTTACAACAAAACTCCCCCTAAAAATAAAAACTTCCCCTAAAAAGATGCAAGTTTAAATACATTATTTTTCAGGAATTTTTAGGGATTATTTTCTAAAAAGCATGATTTGAAGATGAATTTAAAATATTTAATCATGCAAACCAAGGCTAAATTAAATGAAAGCACGTATGGGATAAGGTTTTATTTTTGAAAATAATTAAAACCAAACAAAATATCTTATCCCAATAAGTGAGAAGAACTTACCTTGGGTTATGCCGCTCTTTCTTCGGCATTGGATATACTTCTTTCCTCTTCACATATTTCTTCCATGTGAGGAAATCCGTATATTTCATTCTCATTGCCTTTTCTTCATCTTCTTCATCGTTTGACTCTTCCGAAGAGCTTGAGTCACTTGAATCATCACTCTTCCGAAGTAAGTGATGACTTCCTAAATTGATCACGAATTCCTTTTCTTTTTCTTTTTACTAGCTACTCTACCTTACTCTAGCTAATTTTTTCATCCTTAAGGGACTTATTCAAAGACACTTCTTTTTCTTTTCTTTAAGACCTTGAAAGAATAGTTTCATTGAATGTCATTTAGAATTAATCCTTGATTATGTTACTGATCTGGGAAAGGAATGTTTTTAAACATGGAGCGATCTAAGTTATTTAACAAGTTTTGCTTGAATAAGTCTTCTAATTGAATGTTTAAATAAATTTCTCATAAGTTAATGGTTGGGCTATTCTTGTTAGAAATTTAAGGAAGATTCTGTGTCAAGTTGAGCCAATATTAAGTTTTGACAGGTCATACACCTCCAG